CGTAACACAACCACGACTAAAAACAAAAAGTTAATTCTTCTCGCTCCAATTGAAAATGCGCAGTCGAGGAACAAATGTCTTCATGTTTACGTGATTCTGACTATTTAAAATGGCGACAAATTGGAACATCAATTTGGACTTAAGATTAATAGAATTGGTTCATAATAAGTAATGACGAATGCCTATGAAAATTTTTCAGTAAAATCAGAGCTTTCCTCTTTGTCGATAGAGATAAACAGTCACATTTTCTGATTCATTTTATAATTACACAACGTCCATCGTAACTTATACTGTCCATTGACTATTACTAGAATTTTATTGGTCAATTTGTAACTACGTTGCGGCTATTGTGTGACCAATTATCTGAGCGTGAAACGTGTAACTGTTGCGGTTGCGATTGCCTTTACGGCTGAAAATTGAGACGTATAAACGTGCTTAAGAGCAATCTAATCGAAGCACACAAGAATTTCTATTAAAATAGAAATTATACTCGTGATTAGAATCCAAACAAAAACATCTGAGATATAAAAAATTGTGCCAAGTAAAAACTTATGACAATTTGGATAACAGTTAAATTTTTTCTTTGGAGTTTTTTGGTAAAGATAAGCTTGAAGCGAATGTAAAAAACATTAGCGAAGTTGCGGCCGAAGTTTTCAACTCTAAAACGTGAACGTCGAACGTCGAGCGCCGCTTACAAGATAGCGGTGCTCGACGTTCGACGTTCACGTTTTGGAGATGAAAACTTCGGCCGCAACCTCGCTATTAATACAGGTAAAAATCTCGAAGGTATCACTTGAAAGTATCTTTTGAACAAGATATTCAGACTTATTGCAGGCATTTGGAGCGAAAAATAAACCCCCAAAAATTGGAAATTCTGATTCATTCAGCCAATGACTTTTTCACTTGGCGCGGAGTCGCTGCCGAACTCTCGATTTTTCGTTTTCCTTAATATCGGTCGATGCTCGTTGTATCGAATAAGTCACCTCGTAAATCGGAAAGAGAGAAAAATAAATGATCGGGTATCGAATTATCGCGTATCAAGAATTCAGAGTCACGTTGTAATTAATTAGTAATATTTATAAATTATATAATTTAAGGTCAGACTCTCAAACTGTGAACAGAGTTTTACTTGTATTTTCGGCCTTAAATTATTTAACGCAGGATATACATTATTGATAAGTTGCGTACAAATCGGGGAATTCCAACATGTTCGCTAGCGACTTCAAAGGGATTAATCAATTTGTTTACATATGTAGTAGGTTAAAAAAGACGACAGAATGCCAAACCGAGGTCTCGTTTTCTTTTGATGACCTCGAGCATTAATTCTCCACTTTGTTTTGATTAATTAATAAAATTCGATAATATTAAATATATTTAAGAAGGTCATTTTTATAAGAATCATTGTAAATTCTTGAATAATTTGAAATTCTCTTTATGTATTCATTAAAATACAAGGATAATTTATACTAAAAATGATGTAAAACTCATTAACTTGGATTCCCACTTATTATCCTCACTTACAAGCCAATCTCAATACTCTCTTTAATGAAAAATTTTAATCTAAAATTAATCTAAAATAAAACATTTTCATTTCCTTCTTTATTAATGTACAAAAATTGATTACGTCTATTCTACGAGCAAGGACGCTGGCATCATGTTTGATGTGAAACTTACTTTTAAATTATTCTGAGTATTTTTACGCGCTTGGTTTTTAAAACAATTATTTTGTACTATTTTTATCAATTGCTTTTGAATGTATTTTATTGTTCTTATATTTTGTTTATTTCGTGTTATTTATGTTTTTATCTTCGGGCCTAATGGTTATTTAGAGGACATTTAATCATGTGTGTCTACAGACATTACTAATTTTTGTAAAAATAAATAAATAAATCAATATTCTAAAAATATTTATAAATAAAAATAAAAATAAAAGTGGAGTTTTCCGGGTTTTCTGCACGTGTGTGAAACCTAAATAGAAATTTTCCATAAAAGATCTCCTTGAAAACATCTTTCCATGTGTTGTCTAATACCATCAATGCAATTCAATCGTTATTTTTCCCTGTGGGCCTAATACGATATTTTTAATCATATCTAGTATGGATTCGGACACATCCACAAAGGAAAGGTTGGATATTGAGAGAAGAACCACCCACGAAAAATTACTTTACCGGATTCCCAGAGCGGTGGGCTAACTTTGCTGCCTTGTCCAATGGACAAGGCAGCAAAGTTAGCCCACCGCTCTGGGTATCGAGGATAAAATGTGTATCGAGATTATAAATTACCGTATATTTATGTAACCAGAGCTAAATATATATATTGTATCGATATATTATCATATAGGCCTACAAGCAATTATAAAATATTTTATATTCATTTTTAAACTATTTCAATAATATCATCATCAATTTTTAGTAATAAATCAAATACAGTNAGATGGCAGCATAACTATCTACCTCTAGTCAAATTAATTAATTTCTAATATTTAATTATAGCCTTTACATAGCCCAAGAATTTGGCAAATCTTTTGGCGTGTCTATCAGACATTATCTGTATATTTTTTTCTGTAAATCGAATTCGCATTTCAGGTTGGTTTATTTCGTGTTAGAAGAAAAGATGAAGATAATTCACGCTCCTTAAGAATGTATATTGTATAATTGTCTTTGAATAAACGTTATACGTAAAATATTTGAGTATTTTTCGGCATGGAATAAATTATCGTATTTTACATTAATTTATATGGGAAAAACTGTTTTGCTTAACGAGTATTTCACATTACGAATAAGATTCTGGAATGAATTATGTTTGATAAGCGAAGTTCCACTGTATTTGCTCGTGTTTTTCGCGGGAAAGTTACGTAACTCGTTGCTGTTTCTTTTTAAACCGCCGCATAAAAATGACCGTTAGTATAGGAACGCATATACAGTTTTTTGTTCCGCGACAGGAAATTTTATGTCCGTTCCCAGATTTAAAATAGGTTCAGTTGCATCTTTTTTAATTGCTGCAATTATTTAATAATCTACTTACATAAATTGTTTTTATGTTTTGCGACTTTCTGATCGCGCGGACAAAAAATCTCTCGTGTATTCCTCGTATTATTGCTCTCTTATTCACTCGAAAGAATGTAAGTAAGCACAATGGTCAAGAAACCTAAAACCTCTGGTGCGTGCCTCGGTCATCCGGTGGTCATATATAAACATTATTTATCTCAAGAGAAATTCATGTTTAAAATCAATATACAGTACTGTACATATAACTATGAAGTCGTTTGCGTCTTAATATTTCAATCTGTATTCGTGTAATTGCAATCGTATTCTGTATATTGGAATTGACTTGCAAACAATAAAATTTATTTTTAGAATAATCTATCCGGAAAGTTTTATATAAAAATTTACAACTCAATTACAATTGTTAGTCACGAAAAATTGCGTGATTGACAATAATAACACAAATAGTTTTGTGTAAGCATGCGGTGTGTCATATAAAACAACGTGATTTTATCTTAAGTATTACGGTAATTCCACAATATCAAAGGTACTTAAAGAATTTTTTTCCTGTAGCAATAAAAACCACAAGATTACATAAAATATTTTGAATAAGCAATTATACAAAGTAGGTTAATTACAGTTGTGACCTTTCGGGTCGGCACCTCTTTGGTACCCTGTCAGGATTGACACCACCGTGTTTCTCGAAACATGGAAACCGAGACGGCGATTACGTCACGCCGTCGCGCGAGCGGTTCCGTACGTGGTCAGACGGATTCGTAATGTCGATTCGAGAGACAACATTGGAAGTGACTCAGATACACTTAACAATTAACAAGGGTTTATTTACAAATCTATTGGAAAAGGATTGTCGCGGAGAGAGAGAGTTCACATACACTTCGCGGGATGATAAATACCTTTGGTAATAGGTCCCGTTCGGGTCTTGTTGAATCGGATTATAACAGCTTCCTATGGGTTTTTAAGGTTTCTGATTCGTTATCCAGGCGATGCACTAACACACACACACACACACACAGACAAGTTTATCCTATGGCGATTAATTCGGATTCCTTAATAGATGATAATTGAAGGGAGGACGACTTCTTTCCTCTCCGAGGACTAAGGCCGCGACTAACTCCTGTCGGCCGTCTCTGATGATATTCACGGACGATTTCGGCCGTGCAGAGGTTAATAGTTCACGAGAAAGCGTCATGTTGCTTTCGAGAAAATGTAACGGGAGACTTTCTCAGGTAGCTAAGAACAACAATTGTTGCGTAATTCGCGAAAGTTATTATTAAAGAGTATTTCAAATATAAGAATTTCTGCTATCTCACACAGTTAAGTTGAAATTTTTTATAAATTTATTTTTCGTAGATTAATTTAAAAGATATAATTTCTCTTAATTAGAGGACAGGATGATCGCATGTAGGAGGCGCTTTAATCGTCTCGATTAAAGCGCCTCCTATCTCTCTGGAGAATCAGGAATTGAATCCGCGCGGTCTAAAATTTCCAGAAATTGTTCGGAATGGTCTGTCTCCTATATGATAAACATTCTTCTATCCCACCTCCTATTGTGAACCTAGCCGAATCCACAATAAGTATGATTAAAAAGCTTTCTTAATACCCACGAGGCCTTCCAAAAATGAAAAAATAATCTTGCTACATAAATGATTATAACTAATATAATAAAAAAAAATTGCAAAGTTCTTCACAGAAATGTTTTTATAACCGAGTGTTAAAATTATACTTTCCAATACTAAAGATGTTCTGATAATAAAAATATATCTTAACTTGCTGTTACCCGTGACTTCGCCCGCGGTGATTTTGCAAGTACTGTAATTTTATGTACAGTAGAACCTCGATTATCCGGACTAATTGGGGATGAAGGTAGTCCGGATAAGGAAAAATCCGGATAATCGAAACAAATACTTTAATTTGTCTTTTAATAATAATACAACACGTTTTCTTTTCGATGACATATCGGTAATATTAAAAGTAAATACTGNATGCTACCAAAATGGGATTATTTACATGATCAAAAATAAGAACTTTAATTTCGAACGAATACCATATCCACTACAATTGGATTCCCTAACTTATCATTATATAGCTGTGCCCATAAGCGTAGGTGGTGTCCAGTTGGACGAAGATGGCTTCGTTTCTTATGCAAAAGCAGTTCGTTTGATGTACTTCTTGGACGATGGTACAGCTACTAAACGCAAACTTGCAGAAGAATGGGAAAGCGAATTTTTAAAAATAGTTAATGCACTTAGATATGGAGAAGTAGAAGTGACCGCATTCTCCATACTGTCCATAGAAAATGAAATTCATAGAATCACAGAACATGGATTACCTTACGCTTGCGTCGCAGTTCCTCTCATGATTATCATATCTGTAATTACTTGCATGATGTTCGACTGGGTAAGAAGCAAACCTTGGCTGGGCATTTCTGGTTTCTTGACTTCAAGTATGGCGGTTGGTAGTACTTTTGGAATGTTCGCTTATTTGAATGTGGATTTTACTGATGTAAATACTGCAATTGCCCTCATAATTTTCGGTAAGTCACGTTTTCTTTTTTACAAAATTAGGAATCTAGTTTATTAAAGTAGTTCTAATCAATACTAGATTAGAATTTTTTTATGTTATACTGTGGTATTTTAAGTCAATTCGAAAACATAATACCACTTTAAAATTTAGGATATTTCTTTAATTTTTCATACATTAAGTATCAAGTAGAATATATTACAATATAATGCTGTAGATTCGTGGTAAATAGAGTGATTATTTTACACGCAAACTATTTTAAACTTTGTTCTTTTTCAATGCAATTTTGAGCATAATTCATTGAAAACTAAGTGGCATTCGTTGGCATTTTAATAATTATTGTCCAAATTTTAAGTAAAGAGATTTCTTATTCAATTAGTTTAATTTTATGTATAATTAAGGATTATTTAAATTATGTCCAAACAAAAACCCGTTAATTTTTAATTTTGAACCAGACAATAAAACATCGATGTCTGTATGCGGGTATTTTTATGTAATTCAATGTAATTGGATCGATTCGTACTTTTGTGTATTGTTTATATGTAATTTTCCTACATTATCCCATGGCAAAAAAGATAATTGATTGGGGTCCCTCATCAACGGGTGGGCCCAAACCAATCTTACATAATAAAACAGTTTCCAAAAAAATTCCCCTGAAGAAAAATATCTTAAGTCAACGTCAACACTAGATAGGAGCCCCCTAATTCAAATTTGCCTGGGCCCCGTGAAGATATAACACGCTACTGTCCCTAGTTTATAAATATAAACTTTCTAATTGAATTTTTCAAATTGTAAAAACTTTTTACATTCGAATTAGACCGGGTTTTCGTGAACTTTTAACAAAATATAAATTAATTCTTTGTTCTTGACCCTCACCTAAATCGATGTTAAACCTTCACATTGATATAATTGATAATTTAATGCGAGACTCGAACCGACATACACGTTAGTCTCATAAATAACAGTAATAAATTTTCATTTTATATAATACAAAAATCAATCTCTTTTAATACTCATTTTATATCGAAGGTTATTTCCTCTTTGGCTAATTTATATTTAATACGTATGATCTGATATCTCCTTTTATATCAGCCAAATTATTATTATAGGAGAGATACAAGGTCAAAATATCTATACGATCCCATTTGTCCGTGTCTATAATAGTTTTTATGCTTTATTTAAATGGTTTACATTAATACTAATGTATACAAGACTAAATTGATAAATAACTAAGTTTTTGTGCATTGATTTAACCTTGGAATTTTCTATTCTTTTTCTTTATGGGCCTAAACTATTAAGGAAACTAACTTCATTTTTATGGTATGTAAGGAGGAAGTTTCTTACAATAATTATCTCATTTAAGAGTTAATCTGATAAGAAACGTGCTTTAATTTTTTTTAAGAATTAATAATTTAGAGATTAAAATTAACTTTTTTTAATAGAAAATGAATGGATTTTAATTACATTTTTTCACAAATAATTTAAATAATTTAACATTTTAATTATTATAAATTAGAATAATTTTTTGTGAATTATTTTAAAAAAATCTTATGATTATGATTGCATTATTTTATATAGTTTCATACTTGAGAAACTGAAGTGGCTTTATATTGTATTATTATTATAGCTTTACTAATTATTTAATGAATTATAAAATTAAGTGCAATTATTGTAAACTAAATGATTTTATTTCTATTTCAGTTCTAGGAATGCACAATTCTTTTATATTTTTAACCGAGTGGAGAAGCACCGGAAGTAATCATAGCGTTGAAAAAAGGATGGGTGATACCTACTCTCAAGCTGTTCCCATGATTTCTGTTTCGTGCCTGACTTTAGGAATCATCTTCGTGCTATCATGTGCTCTGCCGTATTATGTCATCCAAGTGTTTTCTTTCTATGCTGTTACTGCCATAATATTTACGTATATTTATGGGATGACATTTTTTGGTGGATGCATGGCTCTCAGTGGATATCGTGAAGAAACCAAGCTTCATCCCATTACGTGTTTACCCATAAAACCTCTCTGCCTTTCCGGTAGGTAATAATTTAACAATTCTCATGACTAATCCTCATTGGTGGTGGATTTAGTTTCTGCTTACAAGAATTGGTGTTGGATTAACCTCATTATCTAATTTTTCTAGGTAAATACAAAGATTTTTTTTACAAATATTATCTTAATTGCTTATCTATTTGCTTTGGCATTATTCATAATTTAGTAAATGTAAATTATCAGATTAAAAATTCATGAAATTTAATTCCTGTATTTTACATTTCTTGTAGAAAAGCGAAATCCTTTATTCCGATGGTTCTGTACTGGTGGCAATGCAGCTTCAGATTACGAAGATAATCAAAAAGAGCCAAAAAATGAGTGTATGGTGTTCTTCCAAGAGAAATTGGGCCGTTTATTAAAATATAGAATGACAAAGATAGTTGTTGCAACAGCGTTTGCTGCTTATCTTATTATCGCAGGATGGTTAATCACTCGAATCAAATGTGGTTTGGATTACAGCAATCTCTTTCCATCCAATACTTACAGTTCCAGATTTGTAAAACTATTCTACAAATATTTTACTGACTATTCTCAAAGACTTCAAGTAATCGTAAATACTCAGCTGGAATATTCTGAACCGGAAGTGCAAGCAAAATTTAACGAACTGGTTCAAAGGTAAATACAATTTATAACATCTCAAATGTAATAATAAACTTATACAATATTAAATTAATTAAATAATTAATTATAGGTTCGAAAATGCCACTTATGCTGGAGAACAAGCGCTGACAGAATCGTGGTTAAAGTATTTCTACATATTCGTCAACAATGTTACAGGGATGTTTGTACTTTACGCTCATAACCTACGAAAAAAGTTTGAATTTTTAGATGCCATCAAGAATTATTTTCTGAAATTAGAAACTGCGGTTGGATTAAGTTATGATATACACTTCAATTCCAATGCTTCCGATATCCTCTATAGTCGATTTTCTATACAAGTTGTTCATACTCACGATAATTACAACGAAATGCAAATGATGCAGAACTTCAGGGATTTGGCAGATAATTCTGATTTTCCTGTAATAGTTCATAGTATGTGGTTCGTTATATACGATATTTTCCTCGGAATCAAGAGTACTTTCTTCCAATTTTTTGGCACCACATTACTTGCTATGATTGCTACTTTCTTCGTATTCGTTCCTAATTTAGCTTGCACATTCTGTGTTTTCTTAAGTTTCGTTTCGATACAATTAGGTGTTGTAGCTTATGCTTCTCTATGGAACATTAAATTTAATGCCGTATCAGTATTTAGCCAGATTGGTTGTAGCATAGTACCTATTTTATTCTGTTTACAAATACCGTATGTATATCATAAGATAGAAGGAAAAAGAAAAGTTAAAAAAACACTATATTACGCAGGCATGCCAATTTTTCAATCATCCATATCAACATTAATAGGACTATTTGTTTTGTCATTTGTTCCAATACCAATTTTTCCAATTTTCTTTAAAGTTTCGTTTCTTGTAATTTTGATAACAGTATTTCATGCATATTTCGTCGTACCGACATTACTGTTATTTTACGAGGATCTATTCCCTCATACTAAAATTAAAAGATCTTTCCATAAAACTAGCCTCAGAAATAGTTTTAGAAAAAGTAGCATTACATCTACATTTAAATCTAGTATAAAATCGAAGAAAGAACCGGATGAGGATATGACACCCATGTCTGGTTTCCACGAAGAAGATGAAGATGAAAGTGAGGAATCTGGATTCGAACACTCTTCCAACGAACTTAGTAATGAAGTGTTCGAATTCCACGACAGAGACTGCAGTGATGAAAGTGTTTGAATTTTCTTTACTTGAAAAATACTCATTCACATTGTATTATTTGTGTATCATTTGAGCATCATTCAGCTTTCTCTCCAATGCTTAAATGCTAAATATATTGTGATACGTTAAGAGAAAGCTCAAATTGACTGTGATTCCTTCTGAACTTATAAAAATTGCTCATTATTCATATATTGTATATACGTTTATGAAAGTCATATAAATACGGTTATGTAATTGCTGTCAAATGCTAATATTATTTTATGTACTTTTCTGTTTAACATAATTTAATTTAATAAAATAGTAATTAAGAATTTTCATATCGTTTTTTATTTGAAAAATCCTTTACCTTACTAAAACTGTTTATTTCTTCAATATTATCGTACAAAAATACTCGGTGTCAAGCAAAATCCAGATGAATGAGTTTCAAGCCATAAACTTTATATCTGATCGCAGTAAATACACGTGCAAAACTAGTTGGTTAGAATCAAGGTCACATATCCTAATCTGTACTAAATTTAATAATTCTAGTCACATAATGAAGCTTAATTACTAAACAGGTTATCTATGTTGACCCAAAAACAGCGAGTTTATCGAATTATACTTTATTGGAATTTTCAATATAATATAGAACTGCAGTGAAGAAATTCTGATCAGTAAGACGATTTTCTGTAGATGTTATATTCTATAATCGTAGTTATAAATTAAAATACAGATACCATGTATATTGGAACATTTTTACTTTGTATATACTGTATATGTGTTCATATGTATATATATATATATGTATGCATATGTTTATATATACAGTACATCTGTACTATCGTTACCGTATGTACAGTATATATATACATACATGCATAGGCCTACAAATAATGGTTTTCCCCAGCAATTACAGTTATTACTATTCACCATAATAAAGAAAAATCTACTTAATTTCTAGCATTCTTCTTGATGAAATTTTCTATAATATATATTTGAATTTTACAAATAAACGAACAGAATGAAACGAATTATGAATCTTTTACGAGAATATTCATTTATTAAACGTTAATAATACTGAAAGACATAGAAGTAGATTTTTTGATGTCGAACGAAGGCATATTAAAGAAATGTTAGCAATATTGACGAGAAAATAATTGCATATTTTCCTTATTTTTTAAAAGTAATAAATGTACAGTACAAATATTACTATTTTATTGAGCAATATAATTCTAACATTAACTATTGATACTACAAGGTGTTACAGAGATACTCGATACTGCATATATATAAATATATTTACAGTGATGTATATCTTAGAATATATTAAAAACTTTACTGTAACTAATAGGTAGAGGTTATAAATAGTAATTGTTCTCGTAATTAAAAATCAAAGAGATAAAACAAAACTTTATTTAAGTAAAATTTTCCTAAATTGTCATTAACATTTCCCCCCTTTTTGCAATAAGTTGATTAAATGCAATATAATTGGAATATTCACGAAACGTGGCGATCTGCCAAGAGGGATGCCTCCTGGAAAGACTTCTATGAAAATTCGCCTCTATTTAAGTGTTACAAACCTGAATAAACCTGAAAAACTCCACGTGTCCAGCCTGTTGGCGAGGTGCCAAGAAGCTGGACACGTGGAGTTTTCCAGTTTTCTTTTCCAACGTTCAACAACTAGTGTACAGTGGTTTTATCCAGTATATTGTACTAGCTATTAATACGGCATATATTAACGAAATATTGATATTAAAATATATATATATAATTAATAAATAATTATATACTTTATTACGTATATATATATATATACGTAATAAAGTATATAATTATTTATTAATTATATATATATATTTTAATATCAATATTTCGTTAATATATGCCGTATTAATAGCTAGTACAATATACTGGATAAAACCACTGTACACTAGTTGTTGAACGTTGGAAAAGAAAACTGGAAAACTCCACGTGTCCAGCTTCTTGGCACCTCGCCAACAGGCTGGACACGTGGAGTTTTTCAGGTTTATTCAGGTTTGTAACACTTAAATAGAGGCGAATTTTCATAGAAGTCTTTCCAGGAGGCATCCCTCTTGGCAGATCGCCACGTTTCGTGAATATTCCAATTATATTGCATTTAATCAACTTATTGCAAAAAGGGGGGAAATGTTAATGACAATTTAGGAAAATTTTACTTAAATAAAGTTTTGTTTTATCTCTTTGATTTTTAATTACGAGAACAATTACTATTTATAACCTCTACCTATTAGTTACAGTAAAGTTTTTAATATATTCTAAGATATACATCACTGTAAATATATTTATATATATGCAGTATCGAGTATCTCTGTAACACCTTGTAGTATCAATAGTTAATGTTAGAATTATATTGCTCAATAAAATAGTAATATTTGTACTGTACATTTATTACTTTTAAAAAATAAGGAAAATATGCAATTATTTTCTCGTCAATATTGCTAACATTTCTTTAATATGCCTTCGTTCGACATCAAAAAATCTACTTCTATGTCTTTCAGTATTATTAACGTTTAATAAATGAATATTCTCGTAAAAGATTCATAATTCGTTTCATTCTGTTCGTTTATTTGTAAAATTCAAATATATATTATAGAAAATTTCATCAAGAAGAATGCTAGAAATTAAGTAGATTTTTCTTTATTATGGTGAATAGTAATAACTGTAATTGCTGGGGAAAACCATTATTTGTAGGCCTATGCATGTATGTATATATATACTGTACATACGGTAACGATAGTACAGATGTACTGTATATATAAACATATGCATACATATATATATATATACATATGAACACATATACAGTATATACAAAGTAAAAATGTTCCAATATACATGGTATCTGTATTTTAATTTATAACTACGATTATAGAATATAACATCTACAGAAAATCGTCTTACTGATCAGAATTTCTTCACTGCAGTTCTATATTATATTGAAAATTCCAATAAAGTATAATTCGATAAACTCGCTGTTTTTGGGTCAACATAGATAACCTGTTTAGTAATTAAGCTTCATTATGTGACTAGAATTATTAAATTTAGTACAGATTAGGATATGTGACCTTGATTCTAACCAACTAGTTTTGCACGTGTATTTACTGCGATCAGATATAAAGTTTATGGCTTGAAACTCATTCATCTGGATTTTGCTTGACACCGAGTATTTTTGTACGATAATATTGAAGAAATAAACAGTTTTAGTAAGGTAAAGGATTTTTCAAATAAAAAACGATATGAAAATTCTTAATTACTATTTTATTAAATTAAATTATGTTAAACAGAAAAGTACATAAAATAATATTAGCATTTGACAGCAATTACATAACCGTATTTATATGACTTTCATAAACGTATATACAATATATGAATAATGAGCAATTTTTATAAGTTCAGAAGGAATCACAGTCAATTTGAGCTTTCTCTTAACGTATCACAATATATTTAGCATTTAAGCATTGGAGAGAAAGCTGAATGATGCTCAAATGATACACAAATAATACAATGTGAATGAGTATTTTTCAAGTAAAGAAAATTCAAACACTTTCATCACTGCAGTCTCTGTCGTGGAATTCGAACACTTCATTACTAAGTTCGTTGGAAGAGTGTTCGAATCCAGATTCCTCACTTTCATCTTCATCTTCTTCGTGGAAACCAGACATGGGTGTCATATCCTCATCCGGTTCTTTCTTCGATTTTATACTAGATTTAAATGTAGATGTAATGCTACTTTTTCTAAAACTATTTCTGAGGCTAGTTTTATGGAAAGATCTTTTAATTTTAGTATGAGGGAATAGATCCTCGTAAAATAACAGTAATGTCGGTACGACGAAATATGCATGAAATACTGTTATCAAAATTACAAGAAACGAAACTTTAAAGAAAATTGGAAAAATTGGTATTGGAACAAATGACAAAACAAATAGTCCTATTAATGTTGATATGGATGATTGAAAAATTGGCATGCCTGCGTAATATAGTGTTTTTTTAACTTTTCTTTTTCCTTCTATCTTATGATATACATACGGTATTTGTAAACAGAATAAAATAGGTACTATGCTACAACCAATCTGGCTAAATACTGATACGGCATTAAATTTAATGTTCCATAGAGAAGCATAAGCTACAACACCTAATTGTATCGAAACGAAACTTAAGAAAACACAGAATGTGCAAGCTAAATTAGGAACGAATACGAAGAAAGTAGCAATCATAGCAAGTAATGTGGTGCCAAAAAATTGGAAGAAAGTACTCTTGATTCCGAGGAAAATATCGTATATAACGAACCACATACTATGAACTATTACAGGAAAATCAGAATTATCTGCCAAATCCCTGAAGTTCTGCATCATTTGCATTTCGTTGTAATTATCGTGAGTATGAACAACTTGTATAGAAAATCGACTATAGAGGATATCGGAAGCATTGGAATTGAAGTGTATATCATAACTTAATCCAACCGCAGTTTCTAATTTCAGAAAATAATTCTTGATGGCATCTAAAAATTCAAACTTTTTTCGTAGGTTATGAGCGTAAAGTACAAACATCCCTGTAACATTGTTGACGAATATGTAGAAATACTTTAACCACGATTCTGTCAGCGCTTGTTCTCCAGCATAAGTGGCATTTTCGAACCTATAATTAATTATTTAATTAATTTAATATTGTATAAGTTTATTATTACATTTGAGATGTTATAAATTGTATTTACCTTTGAACCAGTTCGTTAAATTTTGCTTGCACTTCCGGTTCAGAATATTCCAGCTGAGTATTTACGATTACTTGAAGTCTTTGAGAATAGTCAGTAAAATATTTGTAGAATAGTTTTACAAATCTGGAACTGTAAGTATTGGATGGAAAGAGATTGCTGTAATCCAAACCACATTTGATTCGAGTGATTAACCATCCTGCGATAATAAGATAAGCAGCAAACGCTGTTGCAACAACTATCTTTGTCATTCTATATTTTAATAAACGGCCCAATTTCTCTTGGAAGAACACCATACACTCATTTTTTGGCTCTTTTTGATTATCTTCGTAATCTGAAGCTGCATTGCCACCAGTACAGAACCATCGGAATAAAGGATTTCGCTTTTCTACAAGAAATGTAAAATACAGGAATTAAATTTCATGAATTTTTAATCTGATAATTTACATTTACTAAATTATGAATAATGCCAAAGCAAATAGATAAGCAATTAAGATAATATTTGTAAAAAAAATCTTTGTATTTACCTAGAAAAATTAGATAATGAGGTTAATCCAACACCAATTCTTGTAAGCAGAAACTAAATCCACCACCAATGAGGATTAGTCATGAGAATTGTTAAATTATTACCTACCGGAAAGGCAGAGAGGTTTTATGGGTAAACACGTAATGGGATGAAGCTTGGTTTCTTCACGATATCCACTGAGAGCCATGCATCCACCAAAAAATGTCATCCCATAAATATACGTAAATATTATGGCAGTAACAGCATAGAAAGAAAACACTTGGATGACATAATACGGCAGAGCACATGATAGCACGAAGATGATTCCTAAAGTCAGGCACGAAACAGAAATCATGGGAACAGCTTGAGAGTAGGTATCACCCATCCTTTTTTCAACGCTATGATTACTTCCGGTGCTTCTCCACTCGGTTAAAAATATAAAAGAATTGTGCATTCCTAGAACTGAAATAGAAATAAAATCATTTAGTTTACAATAATTGCACTTAATTTTATAATTCATTAAATAATTAGTAAAGCTATAATAATAATACAATATAAAGCCACTTCAGTTTCTCAAGTATGAAACTATATAAAATAATGCAATCATAATCATAAGATTTTTTTAAAATAATTCACAAAAAATTATTCTAATTTATAATAATTAAAATGTTAAATTATTTAAATTATTTGTGAAAAAATGTAATTAAAATCCATTCATTTTCTATTAAAAAAAGTTAATTTTAATCTCTAAATTATTAATTCTTAAAAAAAATTAAAGCACGTTTCTTATCAGATTAACTCTTAAATGAGATAATTATTGTAAGAAACTTCCTCCTTACATACCATAAAAATGAAGTTAGTTTCCTTAATAGTTTAGGCCCATAAAGAAAAAGAATAGAAAATTCCAAGGTTAAATCAATGCACAAAAACTTAGTTATTTATCAATTTAGTCTTGTATACATTAGTATTAATGTAAACCATTTAAATAAAGCATAAAAACTATTATAGACACGGACAAATGGGATCGTATAGATATTTTGACCTTGTATCTCTCCTATAATAATAATTTGGCTGATATAAAAGGAGATATCAGATCATACGTATTAAATATAAATTAGCCAAAGAGGAAATAACCTTCGATATAAAATGAGTATTAAAAGAGATTGATTTTTGTATTATATAAAATGAAAATTTATTACTGTTATTTATGAGACTAACGTGTATGTCGGTTCGAGTCTCGCATTAAATTATCAATTATATCAATGTGAAGGTTTAACATCGATTTAGGTGAGGGTCAAGAACAAAGAATTAATTTATATTTTGTTAAAAGTTCACGAAAACCCGGTCTAATTCGAATGTAAAAAGTTTTTACAATTTGAAAAATTCAATTAGAAAGTTTATATTTATAAACTAGGGACAGTAGCGTGTTATATCTTCACGGGGCCCAGGCAAATTTGAATTAGGGGGCTCCTATCTAGTGTTGACGTTGACTTAAGATATTTTTCTTCAGGGGAATTTTTTTGGAAACTGTTTTATTATGTAAGATTGGTTTGGGCCCACCCGTTGATGAGGGACCCCAATCAATTATCTTTTTTGCCATGGGATAATGTAGGAAAATTACATATAAACAATACACAAAAGTACGAATCGATCCAATTACATTGAATTACATAAAAATACCCGCATACAGACATCGATGTTTTATTGTCTGGTTCAAAATTAAAAATTAACGGGTTTTTGTTTGGACATAATTTAAATAATCCTTAATTATACATAAAATTAAACTAATTGAATAAGAAATCTCTTTACTTAAAATTTGGACAATAATTATTAAAATGCCAACGAATGCCACTTAGTTTTCAATGAATTATGCTCAAAATTGCATTGAAAAAGAACAAAGTTTAAAATAGTTTGCGTGTAAAATAATCACTCTATTTACCACGAATCTACAGCATTATATTGTAATATATTCTACTTGATACTTAATGTATGAAAAATTAAAGAAATATCCTAAATTTTAAAGTGGTATTATGTTTTCGAATTGACTTAAAATACCACAGTATAACATAAAAAAATTCTAATCTAGTATTGATTAGAACTACTTTAATAAACTAGATTCCTAATTTTGTAAAAAAGAAAACGTGACTTACCGAAAATTATGAGGGCAATTGCAGTATTTACATCAGTAAAATCCACATTCAAATAAGCGAACATTCCAAAAGTACTACCAACCGCCATACTTGAAGTCAAGAAACCAGAAATGCCCAGCCAAGGTTTGCTTCTTACCCAGTCGAACATCATGCAAGTAATTACAGATATGATAATCATGAGAGGAACTGCGACGCAAGCGTAAGGTAATCCATGTTCTGTGATTCTATGAATTTCATTTTCTATGGACAGTATGGAGAATGCGGTCACTTCTACTTCTCCATATCTAAGTGCATTAACTATTTTTAAAAATTCGCTTTCCCATTCTTCTGCAAGTTTGCGTTTAGTAGCTGTACCATCGTCCAAGAAGTACATCAAACGAACTGCTTTTGCATAAGAAACGAAGCCATCTTCGTCCAACTGGACACCACCTACGCTTATGGGCACAGCTATATAATGATAAGTTAGGGAATCCAATTGTAGTGGATATGGTATTCGTTCGAAATTAAAGTTCTTATTTTTGATCATGTAAATAATCCCATTTTGGTAGCATACTTTCGAACTTCTTGCGCATATATGTCTGTAATTAAGTTTTCGTTTGTCATGTTCTATAGTTATATTATGTATCAATTTATCTACTTGTTCGACTCTCTGAAGTAATTCTTTTCTTAGAATAGTTTCATTATCACGTGGAGTAATTATAACCATTCCTAATCTTCCTAATTTAGACATTCTCATCATGTCAAAGTTCTTTGATAAATTCATAGGAAACAAATCGTCTACCATTTTTCTTTCTTGAAGACTTCTCGCATTTTTCGGGATGTAAAGTTTCTCGTAATCCTTTAATATTTTTATTTTGTAAAGACCACTGGATAAACCACAGGCAATTAATAAAGGCAGGATAACGAAATAAATTGGATGTCGAGAGATTAATCTGCCGATTTTTCCAGAAAGATCGCCAAGTAAATCGTGTACTAGATCACATCCCATGATTCTGAAAAATAAAGTATAAATAACTTTAGGCCCATTATAAAATTAAATTTTTATAAACAGAGAATTTATTTTATCAAAATTATGTAAATTAATTTAAACTTCAAAGAACAAAATTTCTTAATCAAAAGTCTTGTGTTTTGGAAGTTATATTTTAGTTAGGATGAAACAATTTGTTTCTAATAGTAGCAAGCCAATTTAGAAGTCCTTGAATTTTATATTTTTATTTGATATTGTTTCAATTAGAATCTTTGAATTTTGGCACTTTTGTACTAGCAATGGCGAATTATAGATTTATGGAGTTCCCAGGAAAATTTAAATCAGAGGCCCCATATACTGTGTTAAATTCAAACATTTTTGTTCGGGAAACTTTGGAAGAATTCCGCATATTCTCTTTCGTTTTTTTTAACGAGATTTTTGGCACTGTGCCAGTGCTCCCTACACCTGAACCATACCGACAATCTAGGGTCCTCAGATATACCCCAAATATAAATTTCGATATTTTTAGTATAGTAATGAATTTATTAAAAAATTGGTTTGGAACTCTATATTGGTGGAGGCCCCAAAAATGAATTTTAAGTTTTGCTGGCTAAAAACTAAAAGCTGTTTTTGTTAAAACTTCATACAACACAAGAGACACTTCAAACGAATTCTTATGATGAAACTTATGCAATCGTCTTTTAGTTTTCCAGGAGAATACCATTGAAACAAAGATCATCTATCTAATCTGTCTACAGATAATTACGTTAATTGAGATGGTGAACAACATTCCAAGTGTATAGAAAGTATAAATAATAAAAATTTCATTATCTATTGTCTACGAGGAGAATATTTGCCTGAATTGCTATAAAATGAAACAATAATAAATGTAATAAATTTTAATTATCTACGTATTTTTTGAGCAAATTTTACAACAATTAAAACTTTTAATTATGATTTAGAAAATGGCACGAATACAATAGTTTGTTTGTTTGTTTTTTTAATAGCGCCATAGTAATTAAGAGGAATTCCTCATATCAATCATAAATAATATGTAAAAATTTTAATATTTAATAGATTTTTCCTCATTACTAAAAATTTTCATAATTTTAATTATTTTCACTGTTTCGAAATATCTGTTTATGTTAATAGATGAGCATGCTAAATAGAAATAAGAAGAAAAAAAAAAGAATGAAAAACCTTGAAATTCAGGGTTGACGAATGCAGATAAATGGCGAGTCTTTGCCAGAATGAACGTGATTCAATATAAACTAATATATTTTCCAAGAAAAATGACTCTTTATTTCAATATTCTAATGCTTCAAATAACAAATTTTTAAATTAAAATTTCAACTTAACAAACAACTTAATCCTTCGTACAGTAAATAATTAAAAAAAAATAAGATAAATTTTAATGCCAACTACAAAACGTTTCCGAATATCAATTGCTAGTTGAAATATATAGTTTCTGTCCTTGACATAATGCTAAGGTACAAAAACAACAGTATTTAAATATCAATCCAGGAAAATTTTATATGTCCTTCGTTAGAAGCGGCTTTGAGTCTCTATTAAAATAACAATGCTTAAACTCCGAACACAGTTCATTCTTGATTTTATTAAATTAATTTGCAATAACAAATTCCTAATCCATACAATTTGTATTTTGGATTAATAATTCAACATTCATTAATCTAATCTAGTATTAAAATAGGATCTCAAAAACAAATTTATTTTTAGATTTAAAAATATTTGAAAATCTATGGTAAATTTAATTTTTAAAAACATCAACTGAAGAAAATTTATTTAGTATATTTGACCTTAACTGCTAAATATCAGTGTATAGAGATAATTAACATACAATAGACAATTTGCACAGGTATTGAATAAATTACTTTTACACATCATTTCATATGTAAACACACGAGTTAAATGAAAGATAGTATTTATTATAATAATAATAATAATAAATATTTATTTATGTTTTATTATACATCAAATATAAATTAGTTATAAAAAAACTTGAATTTATTTACCTGAAAATATCACTTCTTACGCCGTTTTCTCAAGTAAAATGACCATAGAACAGTATTATTGACATCCAAAAATTGGCTAAAAATGAGAGGAACAAATCGTTAACAATGAAACTTATATTATTGAAGTTTTGAATTTAAGTGAAACTGTTCTTCAAATTTATTTATAATATCGTGATGGAATATTCAGTTATCATTGGTGGAAAACTTTTTATTCAGATCGATTGGCTAATTGTTAAACAACGTCATCTCAAAATACTACTACCTATTGGTTCTTTCAAATTGCGTCAGGGAATATATCCGAAAGTTGTTTTCCTTGTTTTCTAATGAGAATCATTTGATATTTTTTTAAAGGTTTTTTTTACATTAAAAAAATAAGTAAAAAGTTTTATTTATTTATTTATTTTGTAAACAAATTTTTTAAATGATTTTAGTTTACATTATTTTTATATTTTCTAAGAAAGAAAATCGGGTTAATTAAGTCGACTTTTACGTAGTATCAATTAATAAAAAAAAAGAAAAAATTGTATGGAATTTAATTTCGTCAATTTTTATTAAAATAATGTCAACTTATATAAGTTAAACTGGATTGAAAAATGGAGTACGAACTAAATTCATTTCTGAAATTTTTATAAATATTAAAAAAACAATTGTTTTATAATATTTTAACAGAGAAAAATTAGAAAAAAAAATTATTTCAATATTAAACAAAAAATAGATAAATGATGTTTTTAAATTTCTTTAAAACATGTTTATAAATACGATTTTTAAAATAATACAAGCGTAAATTAACTTTTTTTATATCAAAATTATAATAAATTAGCGAATAAATGAATAAATTATAATTGTAAACAATTTTAGATAATAAAATGATTTAATTTTAATTAAGAATGTTTACAAAATAACATATTTTTAAACTTTCCTCTTTTATTTACTGTATTTTGAATTTGTTAAAATTTAATTGCAATTTAAAAAATAAATTGTATTATTTATATGAAGTTAAAGACAAATTATAAAATTGTTTAGCAACTTTTATTATGACTTAATACAAACCATATACATTGACCCATATTAAACAGTACGAAAAGTAAAAGTCGAATTAATAAATTTCGTATCACCAAGGTTCGTGCCCTATAAAATATCCTTTTCTAGAAATCTGAAGCTAGAAAAAAGAAATAAATAAATAACCCATAAAGAATTTGCCATTAACAATGTTAATGCTCACCTTGTTTTTTCCAGACTTATGACGTCAATGTTAGTTGCTAGGCAACTTCATGACGTTGAATTCCGGAGGACGAAACGACTCTGGGACTATCATTTACGTCACTGGTATATAATATTTCGATAAATAGTAATTAATAACAATAGAACGGTGTAAGAAAAATTGTTATAATTGCAAAGATAAACGTAGCTATTTTTAAATATTTTTAATTATTAATTCATTCATAATTGAAGAGTGTAATTCCCTCAGAGGAGTCACTTCCTGTGAATGTTTCTTGTGGCAAATATTTAGCGCGTGGTTTCATAGATTCTTACGACATTTTCTACGTAAATCGATATAATTTTAATTTAATGATGGGAATTATATTAATCATATTAGATAGATCAGAACTATAAATAGTGCAATCGAAGAATAACAATGTTTTTCTCGTGATTAACGAAATTTTAACCACTTCATTTATTAAAAAATATAAAAAAATTCACATTAAATATATTTCTAATCTAATTAGTAAACATTTCATTTTACTTCATTCCAGAATTTATTTTAATAATTAAATGTAACAACATTTTTGTGAATTTTAAATGCTTTATATTATTTACATTATTTATTTAAGTGACACAAAGTATTTTGTAAGGAATAATGTAATTGTTCGATTAATAAGTTATGGTTTTTATACAGAATAGAACTATTTTAAATTAGATTATTAATAGGATTTTGCTATCTAAATGAGTATCCTTGAGTAATCCTACATGATAAATCGTTCCTCTTTTTAAAATCATAATATTTGTATCGTAAATTACTTTAATATATAAATATTTTTCATAAATTTTGATAAATAAATAAATAAATTTAAAATCTTTATAGAAAAGTATTAAAATTAATAAGTAAATAATAAATTGTTACTTTTCTATTGACAGTTTGCGAAACATTCTATTGTAATCTCCTTTAATAAATACGTTTCTTAATAAATTCTTTTCTATTCTTTTAAATGGATTATATAAGAAATAATTTTAATAAGTTTTTCTTTAATAAAATTCAAAAAGTTTCATAATATATTTACGTCATACTTGCAAGAAATTAATAAAGTATAAGAATAAATTTATTGCATTGTTTTCTTCTCTGTAGTAGGCCTTATTTGTTAAAAATAAGTGTTTGACGTTATATATTTGCTAAAATGTTTGGCAAGTGCATTTATAATAATAAAGATCTCTATACAGTAAGTAATTTTACAAGTTTTTATAACTAATATCGATTAATTATTGATAGATTATTATATATTTTCCTTGTTTATCAGACTTTAAAATAATTTAGTATTCGAATCACACAATATCGAAATATTTCACGACAGATTTAGAATAGGAAACAATTATATTGATTCCTATTTTTTTTTTTTTACTACTTCATTAATAATTTTCGTGCTTAATTATTTATCTAAACGTCAAAAGCTTGAGAAATATATTTATCAATTTAGTTTACATTTTCTAATGTATTCTGACCATACATTTAGTTTACAACTGAGTGATAGATTTCAACTGTTGTAAGATTTCATCTTCACAGTTCATTTAACTTTCCCTTAAAATATTTGGAATGACTTGCATCAAACCTGATGAGGCACTCAAAGGGTTAAAGATGATTTTATTATATAAAAAAAGAAAAATAGCTTGGAATAATTGTATACAATTTTATTATTATNAAGTCGAATTAATAAATTTCGTATCACCAAGGTTCGTGCCCTATAAAATATCCTTTTCTAGAAATCTGAAGCTAGAAAAAAGAAATAAATAAATAACCCATAAAGAATTTGCCATTAACAATGTTAATGCTCACCTTGTTTTTTCCAGACTTATGACGTCAATGTTAGTTGCTAGGCAACTTCATGACGTTGAATTCCGGAGGACGAAACGACTCTGGGACTATCATTTACGTCACTGGTATATAATATTTCGATAAATAGTAATTAATAACAATAGAACGGTGTAAGAAAAATTGTTATAATTGCAAAGATAAACGTAGCTATTTTTAAATATTTTTAATTATTAATTCATTCATAATTGAAGAGTGTAATTCCCTCAGAGGAGTCACTTCCTGTGAATGTTTCTTGTGGCAAATATTTAGCGCGTGGTTTCATAGATTCTTACGACATTTTCTACGTAAATCGATATAATTTTAATTTAATGATGGGAATTATATTAATCATATTAGATAGATCAGAACTATAAATAGTGCAATCGAAGAATAACAATGTTTTTCTCGTGATTAACGAAATTTTAACCACTTCATTTATTAAAAAATATAAAAAAATTCACATTAAATATATTTCTAATCTAATTAGTAAACATTTCATTTTACTTCATTCCAGAATTTATTTTAATAATTATAAGCGCTTTCTTTTTCTTAAATATAAAAAATTTATTTAAAAATCACTCTTGATACTTCAAATTTTCTCCAGGAAAATGCAGTTTGGCCTTTTAGCTTAGGATTTGAATTACAAATAAGATGAAGCTATTCAGCTGCCGTTATATTTAAGTCTTACGTGTTTTTATAATTAAAATCAAAATAAAAATGCTAATTTAAACATTTTTCCTGCATATTGTTCATTGGAAATATATATTTAGCACTTGTCGAAATGAAAAAGACACGTGTGTGTGTGTTTATGTATGTGGTATACGAAATATACATTACAGATCATATCAACATTCTAACAAAAGCTTTTGATTCTTTTGTGTAGTTATTATTTTTAATTGCATTGTAATGTATATTCTGATGTAATTACAAAAATAGCAAGTATCTTTATCTCATATCAAGGAAATTTTCTCATACAAAAGTGTTGAGGGCCTATCACTAAATATGTTAAGTATAACAGTCCCAAGGGCATCCATTAATTATACCTTATAATATAAATTTTGGATTACATCCAAAAGTTAGTCTGACAGCTTGAATTGTTAAGCAATGACATTCGAATAAGTTGTAAATCCATGAATCAAATCCAAGTAATAAATATAGGCTATTTTAGAACTTTTTCGCAACTTATGTTGTAGAANTAAGAATTTTATTTATAATTAAATTTTTTATAATGCAAATTAGTTCGTAATTTACTTGATTATTCATTTCGTAAAATACGATCTTCTTAATTATAATTATAATAATAATGAGTATTTATTATATTTGTTAAATTCATTTTTAAATATAATAATATAGATACTTTATGGGCAATTATAAAAGTGATTTTCGATATATTTGACAAATTTTATGAATTTAAACTAATAGAAAATTTATTATGGAAGGTTTCTAATTGAAGATAGAATTGTCATTTTTACACATTTTATACAATTACAATAATATAATTATATCAATTTATGATTGAAGAACGTTATAATTTTATAAAAATACCAATGTAAGATAAAAAGAAAACAATACGTATTGTATAAATATTTATTAACATAGTCTTACGTTAATTATTTATGTCATTCGTGTGACATTGACACGAATGACAGTGACACGGTAAGCTAGATGATGTTTAATGATCACGAAAGTAAAATATTGCTTTATCTGCTCTAAACATCTAATAAATGTATAATTTTGTTGTTTATCTATTGAAAATAAATAGCATAATATTGTATTTTTCAATTGTTCAATTGTCGAGGATTTAAGGTTACTTATGTCATTCACTTCTACGATTACGATTTCTCAACAGTGAAAAAGTATTGAAATAAATACAGTAGAGCGTCGTTTATCCGAAGGTCGGTTATCCGAAATGTCGGTTATCCGAAGTAATTCCAGTCGAAAAATTTAAATTTTCGCCAGTGCTGTGGCGCTGTAATCTTTGGCTATGTGTTCGGCTACTCAAATATTTTACG